TTTATTTTTTAAAGACAGGTTCTTGCTCTGCTGCCCAGGCTGGAGTGCAAAGGTTTGATCATAGCTCACTGCAGCCTTGATCTCCTAGACTGAAGGGATCCTCCTACCTCAGCCTCCCGAGTAGCTGAGAGTATAGGCACATGACACCGTGCCCAGCTGATTTTTTAAATTTTTAGTAGAGATAGGTTCTTGCTGTGTTGCTCAGGCTTGTAAGGTATTTAAAAATCTGATAGGATAAGCCTACCATTGTTACATTTCGAGATATGTGTATTTGGTATTTATGCTTGCTTATTCTGGATGAATTCTAACCAAATCTGTCAGGTTCTAAAAACAAATTCTACAGGAATTAAATTTTTCTTTTCTCCTTCTCTGTCTGGAATTTTAAGTTGGTTTTATATTGAAGCCTTGTCTTTTCTTGGGAAGCTATTTCTTTCCTCTTATTTTTCTCTTCTTTTTTTTCCCACCCTATTAGGTATTTATCATTTTTCTGTTTTTTGTTTTTTGTTTTTTTGAGAGGGAGTCTCGCTCTGTCGCCCAGGTTGGAGTGCAGTGGTGCGATCTCGGCTCACTGCAAGCTCTGCCTCCTGGGTTCACTCCATTCTCCTGCCTCAGCCTCCCAGTAGCTGGGACTACAGGCGCCCGCCACCACGCCCAACCGATTTTCTTGTATTTTTAGTAGAGACAGGGTTTTGCTGTGTTCGCCAGGATGGTCTTGATTTCCTGACCTCATCATGATCTGCCCCCCTTGGCCTCCCAAAGTGCTGGGATTACAGGTGTGAGCCACCACGCCTAAATGCTGTTAATTTTTTTTCCCTTACAGCCTGCAGCTTTTCTCAGTTCACTTATTCTGATATTTTGTTGATGTTGTTGATTTTCTGGGATGATACTCATGCTTTCTACAGAGCTGCTTTTTATTTCTTCTTTTCTCATATATGAATAGTCTGATTGGTTTTTCCTCAGTATTGATTGTCAGCCTTTCTAGCCTTGTGTCATGTGGAAAGAGGGGCTGGGGATGCCTTTTGATATTTTGGTTTTAAAAGAGCTGACTCTAGCGCTTCACTAAGTATAATGTTGGTGCTTCGTAATTTTATGATAAATTATTTTACAATAATATCTTTATCATGCATAACCAGCTTTTAAAACAAATAGTTGGCTTAAGTCAAAAAACTCTGCAGTTCACTTTCTCCTTGTAACATTTCTAAATTTCATCCACATCTGAATAATCCTTGTCTTAGTTGGAAGAAATATTTTTTTCCCGAAAACATTCTTTAGTGTCAGAACCATTTGTGATTGTAGTGGTTTTACCCCTGCCCTACTGAGCGCATTTGTTGCAGCCCTTAGTGTCCATCTTCGCTCTGTGATACACTCAGATGTAAATCTTCCAGAGTCTGATGGGTGCTTGATAGTGGCCTTTCCTTCACTAGGAATTGCTCTGATTTATGGTGAAGTAAAACAACCCTCCATGAAAGCATGAAAAGTGTCTAGTCCTAGGTTTCAGTCCTAACTCAGAGTTTTCGTCTCCCAAGTTCTAAGTGTACATTGATTTTTCTTCCTAGACAGTACTCAAAAGGCGGGGACGGTTGACATATCTGTTTGAGTGAAAGGCACTGTCATCCCATGAATGTGTTTTTCTTGGGATTTCTGCTATTTTTTTTTTTTTTGAGATGGAGTCTTGCTCTGTTCCCCAGGCTAGAATGCAGTGGTGCGATCTTGGCTCACTGCAACTTCCGCCTCCCGGGTTCAAGCAATTCTCCTACCTCACCCTCCTGAGTAGCTGGGATAACCAGCGCCTGCCACCATGCCCAACTAATTTTGTATTTTTAGTAGAGATGGGGTTTCACCATGTTGCACAGGCTGGTCTCGAACTCCTGACCTCAAGTGATCTGCCCACCTTGGCCTCCCAAAGTGTGGGGATTACAGGCGTGAGTCACCGCGCCCGGCCTACAGTCACAGTCTTTAGTCCGTGCTATGCTTGTGCAATAATTTCCCCAGCTAGGAGACAGGACTAGGTGACAAGGTTCTTTTTTAAAAAAATAGGTTTTGGGGGTAGAAGTGCCATTTCCTTACATACATGTATTATGTAATGGTGAAGTCTGGGATTTTGCAGTACCCATTGCCCAAATAGTGAACATAGTACCCAGTAGATAACTTTTCAGGCCTCATACCCCTCCCATCCTCCCACATTCTGAAACCTCCAGTGTCTGCTTTGTTCGTTGTTGTTTTTTGTTTTTTGAGAGAGTCTCTGTCTCCCAGGCTAGAGTGCAGTGGCACCATCGTGGCTCACTGCAACCTTTGCCTCCTGGGTTCATGTGATTCTCCTGCCTCAGCCTCCCAAGTAGCTGGGATTACAGGTGCCCACCACCACGCCCAGCTAATTTTTGTATTTTTAGTAGAGATGGGGTTTCACCATGTTGACCAGGCTGGTCTTGAACTCCAACCTCAGGTGATCCGCCTGCCTTGGCCTCCCAAAGTGCTGGGATTATAGGCATGAGCCACCGCGCCTGGCCCCTGTGTCTGTTATTGCATTCTGCATGTCCATGTTTACCCCTTGCTCAGCTCCCGTGGTGACGAGATTCTTGTCCTTGTTTTGCCATTATCTTTTTTCCCTGAGGAAGGCATTTAATCCGTCTCAGCCTTAATTTCTTCTCTGTAAAATGAGGGATTCAGTCATACATACTTTGATTTTTCTTTTTCTAAAGTGTGATTGCTTAGCTGAAAGCCCAGCCAGTAGATTGGAAGAAGTCATTGATCAGCCCTTGTCTGAGCAGTGTGCCCTGGTTATTTTCCTCCCTACCTTGCAAGGAACAAACAGAAATTTAAAACTGACACGTCGTTTATGCTCATTTCAAAGACACAAAGAATGATAAGAGCAATATGGAGTTGACGGATTTGGAGCTAGAAATTAAACAGAATACCAGTAATGTGGAAAAATGCAAAGGCATATAGAATGACTTCCTATCCTTAGCAAAAATTCACACAGAATCCTGTCCCATGCACGTTTTAAGTGGAAAAAAATGACCCCAGAAAGTGGATTTAAAACTAATAAAGCTAAGATGTTTATTATCATTAGTGATAATTTCTGCATAATTGTCACAGAAAGCTTATGCATGAATCTGTAACTTGTTATTGTGGTCTTCACTAGAAATTGCATGTCTTTTTTAATTTCTGAAATAATTTATTGGGATGAAGAGCACTGTCAGTTTTTGTATTAAATTGTTTCAGTAAAGCATGGCCCAATATTTGACATGATGAGTCTGAATGAAGTGATCAGATCTATGTGAGGAATGTGGTTCTATGCTGGATGTTTTGTGGACAAAACAGAAAAAAAATCCCAGCCTAGAAGCATTTTTGAAGTTGCATTGAGGAAAAACTATAATCTGGGGGTCATATTGTCACACTGAGAGAACTACTATGTTCTTTCTCGCTTTCTCATCAGAGGACATCCTTGTACCAGTACCACTCAAATTTTCTGTTCTCCAACTCCTGGCCTCGAGTGATTCTCCTCAAGCGATTCTGCCTCAGCATCCCAAGTAGCTGCGATTACAGGCACGTGCCACCACACCCAGCAAATTCTCCATTCTATACAACTTTTTTTTTGAGACAAAGTCTTGCTCTGTTGCCCAGGCTGGAGTGCAGTGGTGTGATCTTAGCTCACTGCAACCTTCCATTCTCAGGTTCAAGCAATTCTCCTGCCTTAGCCTCCCAAGTAGCTGGGATTTCATAGGTGGGCGCCACGACACCCAGCTAATTTTTTGTTTGTTTGGTTGGTTGGTTTCTTTTTTGTTGTTGTTCTTTGAGACGGATTTTCACTCTTGTTGCCTAGGCTGGAATACAATGGCGTGGTCTCGGCTCACTGCAACCACCGCCTCCCGGGTTCAAGCATTTCTCCTGCCTCAGCCTCCCAAGTAGCTTGGATTACAGGCATGTGCCACCATGCCCGGCTGATTTTGTATTTTTAGTAGCGATGGGGTCTTACCATGTTGATCAGGCTGGTCTCCCAACTCCTGACCTCAGGTGATCCGCCCACCTCAGCCTCCCAAAGTGCTGGGATTACAGGTGTGAGCCACCATGCCTGGCCCTAAACAACTTTTCAAATTCTCTCTTTCTCTCTCCCTCTCTCTTTTTTTTTTTTTTTGAGATGGAGTCCCACTCTGTCGCCCAGGCTAGCAGAGGTTTGCAGTGACCGCAAGATCCACATCACTGCATTC